ATTTTTAATTATTATTATTTTCAGGTACGCAATTGCGTATTTGCGTACAGGTAGCTACGCCCCTGGTCCTTTACTAAAGGTTTGTAATCAGAAAAAACTCAGGCTTAGCGACATAACATTTCTTCTTTTCTAGTCTGCTTTTTAAAATTCATTTTTTTTATTATATACATTAATATATCCATGCACATTACCTCCTATGTTCTGTTCTTGAAGGAAATTAATAAGATCCTTCCTCTCCACGGATCTCAGAGCCTCTTTCAAACTTGAAAGCTTCATTTCTGGGACAGAGGTAGCCAAATACTGGAACAGTTTTCCTGTCGGACTTTCCATCGATTGTCTTTCCAGTTCCCGGCAGGCCTCTCGTGACACGCCTAAACTCACCGCCAAGGTTTTCCAGTTTGACAAAATCAGTGACGAACCGTCCAAAGCCAGGGCAATTTCGTCTAAAAGACCAGCTTTAATAACGTCTTTGACTTTTTCAGAGTCATCAAAACTTGCTTAAAGATAAAAGAGAAAAAAATTAGAATACAGAGGAAACAAACTGATTTTCTCAAAGAAAAGATAGATTGTGTACACAACTAAAGAACCTTCACCGAGACAGGATTAAGTATCCTATTTTATCTTAACTTAAACTTCAATCTCATGTTGCACTTGTAACATAACGCATGACTTAAATGAATTCCAAGTGTGTCATGCCCGTAATAAAAAGGGAACATATTCTTTTTGGCATTGAAAAGAAAGCTTATGTCTAACATTTAACATTTAACTATAACGCTTTTATTCGTTGCGACTCAAAAATGGCATAAGCTTCCAAAGAAATCCAGTACACATAAAACATTGTTTCCCTTTTATATTTGACAAAACTATCCCATGAGAAGTAAAACAATCACGCAAGCTTTATCGTCAAACAGTCGAAGACAGCCTTTCAAAATTCATACTGATTTTCTACGGCTTCTGAGAATGGTGAAGGGATCACCTTTCTTTCAAACTTGGCTTCTCAAAAGCAACACACCTAAACGCACATGCCAGAGGCTTTCCCTGTTTTCTCTCAGTTATTTTATATTTCAAAGGAGCTGTTACAATTGGTCTCGATATTGATACCTTCTGTGGTCAGCGACCCAAAAAGGTCATTTCTCTTGATCTCCAAAAAGGCGTCTTTCAGATGTCTCATTGTCAAATCTGGTTGATTCTGCTCAAGATATTCAAATAATCGGATGGTAGGACTGAAGTGGTGGTACTGTTCTAACCGTCTGATGTCGTCCGAGTCGACTTTCAGTTTTGATGCCAAGCGTCTCCAATTCGGTATCAATCTCATTTCTCGATCCAAGCACAGAGAAAACTGTTCTACGAACTCTTTATTGCTTATCAAAATGGTTTTGATAGAAGGTAACCTTGACCCTGAAACTGATGGCAGACAAACTAAATAAAACAAGTATAGTATAAATGTTTACCATGGTCTTAAATTCGCGGTAACTTAAACTTCAGCTGATCCCTATCTTAGAAACGAGCGTGGGTTCTGAGATTGAAAAATTTGATGCCGATGCAAAATAAGTCTTAGATGTAGGTTTGTCGGTTGTCAAATTTGTCCGTACGGCCAACAAAGTATTAGGGCAAGAGTACCATATAACCCGATACATTAATAATGCCTTCAGACTAGTAGACATTGTTTTTAAAATTTTGTCGTGAAAGACAAAGTGGAATGCATAATTAATATATGGGGTTATATGGTACTCTTTCCAGTATTCGTTTCATATTCTATCTTCTTTGTTTTTATGGTCAAGGCTCAGTAAGCATTGACATAACCTGAAATTACTATGGAAAAGGTTCGATGATAACACTGACCAAACTCGCTTGCATTTATGTTTATTACTTAGCAACAGCTCTAAAAATACATTTGTGAAACACTGCCCTCCTCAAAACTATTGCGATATTATCTCTTTTGTGTGGCTGTGACACAATTGCAATTAAAGCTTATCAATTAGAGTTTGTACCGCCCCCCGGTTAGCTCATTGGTTAGAACGCCGGATTGTCTTGTGCGGGAGGTCGAGGGTTTGTGCCCCGGCCGAACCAATACTCATGGTCTTGAAATAGCTGAGGAGAATTTGGTACCTTTTTAAAATATCGAGAAATGGATAGATATTCTAGTCTTCTCGGATAAGGACGAATAAACCGTAGGCCCCGTCTCCTGTAGGGTTAGGGGTAGGAGACATTAATTTCCCACGCACGAGATTACTGTATGGTGGATGTCCTCCCCCGGGGGATGGGTGGGTATGGGTGGGTGGTGTTGAATGAATGGCCCTGAAAAGCCCTATGAGGGAGTGGTCAATTAACATATGTATGTATGTATGTAGAGGGATTAAACTTGGTGTCCGTGAAACAGTGCTCGATACAAATAGTAGAGCGGGTATAATGTATGGTAGTCGGAAAAAAAACAACTACATATACATCCCTAAAGACCTGTTTCGTGGTTGCCCACTCATCAGGGGATTTTTCCGACTACCACACACTATGTGTGTCTGTAGGTATTAGCTTTGAACGATGCGACGACTCGTTTTGGTGTCATCTTACCTGCGTTAAATCTGCCGCATAAATCAAAGGCATTTCGCTGGATTTGAATGATCTTCTGTGTTTCAAACTCATTCCTGCCACTATGATATGTCAAACCGTATTCTTTCGAACCCAGCTATTATGAAAACCGCATTGTGAATTACGGAGAAACCACTTCCGTCTTCACTTCCACCATTTAACTTAGAACTTATGCGTTTTATGATAAAGCATTTAGTTTCAGCCACAAAACACCGGAAATTTCGCGTCTTTCTGAAATCTATTCCTAATGCTATAAAACTTTACCTACTTCGAATGAAGGCAGTCATTTTGTATTTACTTCGGAAATATTTTGTAAGTTTATTTAATCCAGTGACTGAATCCTCTGACATGTCAAAGACTTGCGCCGTTATGCATTTAGATATTACTTTTAGATTAAGAGGCGATGAATATAGCCCTCTTCACGAGACAGATCGAGGATATAGCTACTTACCAGTGGAAGAAACGCTCTCACCAAACTGATCCATCATAGAATTGAAGCCTTCGCTTTCTTGGGCTAAAGTCGCTCTATGTTATCACGAACATGACGAAGTTTCTTTGTGTAATGCTCGTCCTGACGTAGTCATACAAACCTCTTGTCGTAACTATTGTCCTAATATGCGTTTGATTCTTGTCCCATGCAACTCAGTTGAAGAAACAACGAAGAATAGTGCATCTTCTAAAGCAACTTAAAGTAATGCGTCGAAAAAACCATTGACGCTGAACAGTTGTAGGTTCACGCGGTTATGCATGATTGCGTTTAGCGTATCAAGAAAAGCTGATCAAATTCAAAGACAATGCCCTTTGTTTAGTGTTTCAAATATGGCCATAAAAGGATATCTTAAAACAATAGTTTAGAGCCAAACAATGGCTTATTAATTCACGAGGGAAATTCAAACTCGCTGCCATTACAATAGCGAAGTTCACGAAGTAAATTCAAACATAGCCGATTACTGCACGAGCGAGCAGAGAGGCATTTTGTCTGCGCATGCGCGAGCGGAATTAGTTTGTCGCGTTCGGCGCCATTTGTAGAGTTTTCGACGCGTTTCTGCGAGCTTTCACTGGACGATCGACACCTTTTTGTAATATTTTGTGAATATGCATGAAGGAGTATCACAAGTTCGCCAACATTTCTAACTCTGTGGATACTCATGGTGTTTACTGGCTCTTCGGTTGAGGATATTTTAATGATCAAAGTGCGAACAAAACGCGAAAAAAGCCCGAAAACTTGAAGTTTGAGATTTGAGTTACTGAAGGTCACTATGTACACATGAGACAACAAACCTCGAAGGTTAGTCTTAAGATGTTGACGTTTTATTTTTGTGAATCACAAAGTTTTCTGTGGAGACGATCGTGAGATATTTGATCCGAGGAAAGATAGAAATTTAGAGTTTGATATTATTTTACTTCAACTTCGAAGTAAAATTGCGTTAAGTTTGAGGTGGCCCCCAAGCATCAAATCACTTCAAATAACATCGTCTTTTCCTTCTCTTTACAGTCATATAGGACACAAGGCTTTAAAAAATGTTCCAGCTTCAGGATTAAGCTGCTCTAACTACAACCCTCGACGAATTATTTGTCGGGAGGTTTTGGTGGATTTTTCAAGTCATGACCCAAAACCGTCTTTGGCCTTTTTGCTCTCTAAGTCTGTTGAATATGGTGGGTAGGCATGTGTCTTAACAACGGTTATGGTCTTACCTCA